ACCTGTCGATCAATTACCCTACCCGTCTCACCTCATATGGTAATTTATAGATTCATCGCCATGAATGAGAGTTCAGACTTATTCCAGTGCAAATGGATGAATAGCCTTTTCTGGGTATCTGAAAGATTCTGCACAACTTGAATGCTGTAAATCATACTTTCGTTTTCGCCCCCACTCCTCTTCCAAGTTTCTACACCTGATTACTATTGGTAAAAGGGTGCTTCTCTAAGCCTTAGTGATAATCCATTGGCTTCCCTACATGATCTCTCGCCAGACTTTTCGGAGGGCTGTGTGCTGCTGATGGAAGCAATGATGCAATAACGGGAAATTCTGGTCAGATGAAGCCTACAAGGCATCCACGGTTGCCGTCAGATGTGTCCTCGTAGTTTGCTTACCTTGGCTCGTAGGGTCGCTGGGGTGAGATTTGACGATCGTGATGCTATCAGTGGTGACCAGCACATTACTCGTGGTTGCTTAGGGGCCAAGTAGTCAGGTAGAATAGTGCTAGCTGGGGAAGAGTAGCAGGGTGTAAGATATATAAGCATCTCTGCAACACACACGGAATGTCCAAGTTTAACTTGACTTTTAACGACACGAGAGGATTAGCATCAGCTCTGACTATGCTTGCGGATATGCTTTATAGCAGCAGCCTGGCACTATGCCAGATGCTGGATACCAGGCGCACGTCTTACATTGTGGCGACCCTGTGGATTATTTGGCAGCTGATCAAGCTGCTAAGGTTGTATAGCAAGCGCCCGGTATGCATGAATATCTCCCTCGCTTTATACAGCTTTGGTACGCCATCCAAAAATTATCTTCACAAGCTAATGTCTTCAAACCCATAACAGCTCAACACATACATCGGGGGTACATCTATCTTATTATTCGGAAAGTGGTTCACCAGTCTCGAGTTTGTGGTCGATGGGGCAGGTACGGTCTTCAGTCTCTATCAGAGGGTACGCAACTCCATTTCTACTAATCTGCTCTGAGATATACTAATCGCAAGCAGTTGGGACGTGATAAGTCCTTCGCGATTCCCGCTCTCAACGAGTATCAGGTACTAGTCTCTTCCGAGCAAAAGGTCCGGGAGCTTGGGGAGAGCGCGGAGAGCGTGCTTTCATTCCACACGGCCATGGAACAGGTATGGACAATATTTGACGTACCTATATTTTACTGTGTCTGACAGCGCTATAGAGGATTCAGCACAAATACACCTTGTTTGGCTTCCAGCACAACGATATAGATCCGAACAACGATATTGCTAAGCGTGTTATCAAGGTCCTGCTTCGCATTAATTTACCTCAAATTCAGCAAGGCCTACAACCATTGGTTCAAGATCTGTTTAAGCAAGAGCTGACAGATAGAGACTCGGATGGTACGTACACTTTAGTCATGATAATGAAAAATGGCCATATCTGATTCTGTCAAGCAGGTTGGAGTCAAGCAAGTGGATTTACCCTAGCTAAGCACCTTGTTACGCGAATCAACAATTACGTTCTCTTGGGTGAGAAGCTGGGTGAGAAATAAGCCGTACACCACTTCTAGTAAGCTATAACCTAACGATCCTTTAGCTAGCGATCCAGCTTTCGAAGACGCTGTCAATCGGTACCTTCAAGACGTCGTGGTAACCATGGAACTATGTCGCCACCTCCCATCATTCCTAGTTCCGTGAGTACTGCTCTGTTGCATATCCCACGTAATATACTGATTTTTCCAAGATTGGTGGCACCAGCTATGATGCGTTGGAGTGGAGCTATGCATTTCATCGGTCGCTCTGTTACGGCCGAGGTAGAAGATCGACTTGTCAAGAGCAACGGCACATCCCAGGATCCCTCGAAACCGGTGAGTCAAGAAGCTCCCTCTCTTATGGCTCCGGGACTAATTTACCTGTCATGATAGTGCGACGGCATACAGTGGGTAATAGATTCTTCCAAGACTCCAGAACAACGAACAGTATCTCGACTGGCCCAACAAATAATCGCTATTCTCTTTGCCTCCGTGCATCAAATGGCCGCAGTTAGCATACTAGCCCATACTATACCGCCCCAAGGCTAATCATCCAACAGGCTCTGGTATACGCCATGTATGACTTGTGTCTCCATCCGGAGTTCATCGAGCCGCTCCGCGAGGAAATCAAGCATGCGCGAAGCGCGACCAGCTATGAAAATCACTTTGATCGGTTGCCTTTGATGGACAGCTTCCTACGGGAGTCTGCCCGACTCAGTCCATTAGATGCCTGTGAGATTCCCACATACATCACGCGCAGTTTACTTCAAGCCTGATAACTAAACCCCGTTCATTGACAGTGTCAATTCAACGGGTGGCTCTATCACCCTACACTTTCGCAGACGGCACGCATGTCCCAACCGGAAACCTTGTTGCCGTTCCTCAAGAGGCGATTATGCAAGACCCGGAGCATTATCCGGATCCAAAGAAATTCGATCCATCTCGGTTTCTGGCGGTAGATGAAGCGGATGGTTCGGTGAGAGCTTTCCCAAAGTATACAGACGTGCATTGGAACTATCCCTTCTGGGGTTCGGCGAAAAAAGCATGGTAAGCATCAAAACAAGTTATCCATAACATTTATCTGTAGCTGATAGGCCATGATCACAGTCCCGGTCGGTGGTTTGTCTCAAGGACATTGAAACAGGTTCTGAGCCATGTAATTATGGAGTACGATGTCAAGCTGGAGGATGAGAATGCATCACGAACCTTTGTTTGGACCACTGCTATTGTGCCTCGATCTAGTACAAGGTTGATGTTGCGAGCGCGAAAGTGACTTTGATCTCTATATGATCATTTCATTATATACGAATAACGACTTTAAACATACTCATCTTCTCTATACTCTTAGCCATAGATAAACGCAATATACGATACCCATCACTCTAGTCCCCCAGCAAAGTACTAACTAGCAACAAAGCGTAACCTCCACCAAAGCAGCAAACCTTCCTTAATTTACTACTAACCCGTCAATCAAATCTCACAACCTCCATCCCCATCACCAGCTCCCTCAACTCCCCCTCGGCAGGATACCTCTCCACAAGCCCTCTCAACTCCACCTCAATCCCAGCCCACACCATCTCATCAACACCCGTTTTCGTCCTAGAATACAAACTTATCCCCGCCGGCGTGAACATCGACTTATTAGCAAAGACAAGCAGCCACTCGTCGTCATCGTCTGCTCCGCCCCATCCCAGAATTTCCCACTGCGCACTCACCATCCGCAGCCATCCGCTCCCCCGCCACTCCATTTGAATCGGACCATGCTCTTTTCCGGCTGAAATCGCTCGGTCCGTTCCGGTTGTGGTCTTTACTGAGGAAGAGGATAGTGTTTGGTAGGATGTCTTGTTTGTGAGGATAGGGGCGGGTGAGGTTGTAGTGGCTTGGGGGAGCTCGCTTAGGGGTAGAGTGCCTGGTGGAGTGGTGGTGGTGTCGGCGGTTAGTGTGATTGTGGGGTTGCGTTTGTCGCTCCAGAAGGGACTGGAGGATCGTGTGATGTACCAGGTTCCGAGGATGTTGGTGGTTGTCGGTGGTAATGGTGGTGAATGTTCATGGCTGGACTGGTAGTGGTATTTTTGAGGAGCATGGATCATGATGGGGGTTTGGTATATGGAGGTTGAGGGAACTTGGGGAGGGGGTGGTAGTATATCTAGAAGTGTAGGGATACAGATTTATGGATTGGCTTTATTGAAAGCAGAGGGGAATAGATGAGTATTTATATTACTACTACTGATAAAAATACCTTGGAGCGATCAATGTACATACCATGCACTCAGGCTCTTATGTTGTTGCATATTGACAGGTAAGTATGAACAGGATTAGCCTAGCCTGTTACCTACAGTATATGTGGGTTTGAAAAATACGTACTGTTTTACCCTCTCACTCGATGTTGTACCGGTATGCATACGGTATGGACCCAATTCATTTTTCTCCACTCTAGATGACTCTAGGCTTGCGATGGCCCCGGCAAGCTGATGATGATGATGATGATGATGACGATGGCGTTGTTCTACCACAGGAACATAGATTAGCTCCAAACGACAAGGCAAGTAATATGTGCTTGATTTCCGTGAGTCTAAATCCCACGGTTTCTCTATTAATATTTCTCGAGGAGCTGCTAGCTATTGACTCTTATCAGGATGAATCTGCTCACCGCATTATTGAGCTCCCTTCAACGCTTATAAGATGGGCCCCCATCGTAGTGCCTCTTGATAAATATGGCTTCTCAGACTTATGACCCATAAACCAGCTCCAAAGACACGTTGTCCATGAGACTAGGACCTGTGTCGTGCAATTTCATCCGATCTCACCTATCCGAAGATTCTGGTAACTGTGCGACTTGAACGGAAGTCGATGCAGGGGGGGTCTGTCTTCGCGTGTGGTGCACTAGAATGTGCAGAAGCAAGGTCTGTGGTTTCCATAAGATGAGCAAACTGAGGATAAGAGAGAACAGAAGTTGTACTTACCGCGTGTCAAAGAGTCAGAAGCTTCTTGCGCTGAAGCAAGCGAGACATTATTACAGTCTTCAGAAGACACTCTTGGGTTGAGGCAGAATGAGTCGAAAGATTGAAGGATGCATTGCATCCAGTCGTCACGCGAAACAGTTAAGCAGTAAGTTCATGATTGAAATGAGGCTCACTTCGTAGAGTCTGGTTTGACAGACTAGTATTGAAATGAGTGGAAGATCATTTATATAGCTGAGAGGGGGGTCGTGGTCACTTAACCTAGCTAGTCTGCATCAGATCTCATATAAACAACTCGACATCACAAGACCGAATTGATATTGGCTTACCTTATTATCTCTACATGTCATGGATTGAATAGAAGACACGATCATAACACGGATACTGCAGCAGAGGCCTCTGCCATTAGTTCCGACTAAGCTAGAAGACGCATGATGTACAATAAACGAGAGGTTCAGAAGGCCTATATAAATGCCAGTAAGGGCATATAGGAAGAGAGAGATGAAAGCAATACCATGCTCCCTTAAACGGGCTTCAGATTGCGCTACCATCGACATCAGAACAGGGCGCATTGATACTTCCTCCGTTCTCGGCAAGCTCAATATCATCCTGTGGCTGCGTAAGGCCCTCCTTTCGCCGGGCTCGGCTTCCACCAGTATAGTGATAAGTGTAGCTGTGATAACGACGCGCAAGACTGCTGTTTTCACCGATTAAGCGAGGGGCGTAGCGGCGCAGAAAGTAGCGGAGGAAGGGGAGGCAGCTGCAGATGATGGCGAAGTTGGCCTCGATGTTGCTGCAACGCAGTTAGAGTGTGTTGTTGTGATCGGAGTAAGGAACTTACATCCACAGGTCTGGTCGACCAATATTGTAAGTTGGGTCAGAGGAATGAGAAAGGGGATCAAAGTGATTAGACGGATGATGCCGGTTACGAGAGTTCTACATAGTCAGCAAACGACGCGAAATGGTGAGGGAATGCTCACGCGCAGCCAACCATAAACATCAGCAAAAGGCCTAAACTTCTGTAACCCCGGCATGTTCAGCCCCAACACCGTTGGGATGGGTACCAAAATCAACGCAATATCAGAGATGATGTTCAGAACGGCTGTTGCAACATACAGCGCGTATTGATTAACATATGTCCCTGTGACTGATATATCCCAACCTTTCTGGATTGGGTGGCAGCCGAAAATGAAGGCCAAGCCGAGCGCAAAGCTGTAGCTACTGACTATAAACGCGATGCCGTACAAAATCCATTGTTGGTACCGTTTCTGACACAAGTTCCGGTAGTAAAGGATAATCAGGCTAATTTTTGCAAACGCCAGAGCGGAACGTAGATGATTGCTGCGGAGAGAACGACCTAGATACATTAACTTGGGCTGGATAATTCTCGAAGAACATACCTTGACATATACGTCATACACCGCAGGTGTCACGTTCCAGAAGTGAATTCCCATGCCCCCATGTTTATATCCATCTGACATGTTAGTAGAGTGATAACCAATGACAATAGGCACTTACAGATGGCGCATGCCTGAGTGCCCAGAGAAAACACCTGGAGCAAGATTAGTGGAATAACTTCAATTCCAATCGCTGTGGCAGCCTACCCAAGCAAGGATAATAGACACTATAAAAATCAGATAGACTCTTCGTCATTGAGACGCTAACATACCATCATCCCATCCGAACTTATGCAGCAAATGTGCTTTGGTATACATTCGCAAGGCTAGGCAGCTAACTTGTGCTGATGATTAAGCCCGCCGAAATCACCTCCATATTTGCCGTATACAGATGGCGATGCGAGTAGTCAAAATCGTACGTCTCCCCGGGAGGGGGTCCGCCATTGTAGTAATGGCCATCTTCAAGTGGCATTGAAGGCCAACAGCCTCTCAATGGAACCTCACACCGTCATAGATTATAGAAGGGTTCCAGAAGGGAGATTATACTCTATGAGGTGCCCCTGAGGCATGAAAGGCCTAGTCGACGGCACAGACAGAATAAAGATAAAGAATTCGTATTTCGGTCATTTTTGTTTTTCTTGCTTTTTCTCTTCGCAGAAAAGCGTATTGTGTGCGTTTTCCAACAAGGAATGTGCTATCGAAAGCTTATGCACGCTCTCCCAAGACGACAAGGATATGCGCCTCCTTCATTAGCAGCGGTAAATTGGACCACATGCCGAAACTACGATGATTTACAATAACAACTCCGCCAAGCTTGGGGGACTTTTCCGGTGCTTGGATAGTGTCATCCGTGTGGAGTGGAATTATATGCCATCGCGTCCGGCTGTCGTCCAGGCGAAAGCCTGGCCGTCCAAAGGCCCGAGGGTCGGCGGGTGTAGGAGTGGAAAGGATCGGTGGTGGAGCGCCCTAAGTACGGAGTAGAGGCAAGCGAACGATCAGACTGTGCTTGTTCAGATCGCGTTGAAACGGCTCGTGCTGGCTTCTTTATCGGCTCCACAGCGATGCGGGTTGACTGCGCTGCATTTTCAAAGATGCACTAAGTCCGCGTTAAAAATGGCGCAGCCTAGCAAGGCGAGACGAGGGTGGAGCATTCGTTGTCTCATTGTCTAATCTATCCCATTCTATTTGGTGCTCTACTGTACAAAGCGCTTCAACTAGTCGTAAACTTCTTGGGGATGCTGCTTAAACCTGGCTGATCTTGAAGCCACCGGGAACCTGTACCTGGAACACTCCATCTGGATCATACTTTCTGGCCACACGGGAGATGAATTCGACATTCTCCTCGCCATAACCCTTGAGAGGGTTTTGCGACTTGTCGGCGTAATTGAGGTAGATGTACCCATTGTACGCCCCAATCGACTTGGCGTACTCGTCAACTGCCTCCAGGATCGACTGGCCAAGACCGATGAAAAGTTCGTCGTCCCTTGCATCATCCCAAGCGTAGTCGAATAGTATTTCTGCAAACGGATTAGTGCTGCGCTAGGAACAAGGTCGGGTCACATACGGATCAGGTTCTCATCAAATCGCTCCAAGCCCAAAACATTGCCACCCTTCGCCACGCTGTGCTGAGCGAAAAGCTTGGGCCAGGGCTGGATCATTACAACCATGGCCCAGTAGTCACTCTTGACATGGGCCTTGGCCTTTTCAATGTTGTTGTTGTGGAGGTCGATCGCCTTGCGAAGGACATTGATGTCGTTCTTGTAGGTACCGGTTGTGAAGATATCCCTGAGTTGTGAGCTGTTAGCGACCCAAGTAACAAGAGCCGGCTTCAACACCACCAGCGACGATCTCCTCAGGAAGATGGCCTCTTCAAGGGAGAAAGACGACCGAAAATGGCTATCTATTAGGGACTGGCTTACCGGTATCCCGCCGCCTGAACCAGCTCGTGCGTCAGGTTGTAAATAGTAGCAAACCGCATCGTGTCAGTGATGTTTGGAATACTCGTAAATCCATGGAATGCAGGTGCAAAGGCAACAGGCTTGGTGTATTCCAGGGCATCGGCAATGATGTTCTGCCCCGTCGTTGAGCTGTACTCCCACATCCCGATCCAGGATGCGCAGGGGTCATTGTGGATGTTGTTGGTAAAGTTTACTGCGGCCGAGAGCTGTCGGTCGGTGGTCGAATTATCATAGACGACCAGTCCACCCCAAAGCATATCATGAGGCAACGTCTTGAGGTCATACTTTGTGACAACTCCAAAGTTGATCGATCCACCCTTCAACGCCTTGTACAGATCAGGATGGCTAGTTCGGTTGGCATTGATGATCGATCCGCTGGCAAGAACGACTTCAAAGTTCTCGACGTTGTCACAAGCAAAGCCTACACGTGCGGTGTAGAAGGTGTTTCCACCTCCGATCAGGAACCCACCCACGCCAACTGGTCCACTGCGTCCTCCAGGCACAGTGACACCATAGGGATCAAGAGCCTTGTAGACCGCCTGCCAGCGCGCCCCCGGCTGGATAGATGCAACGCCTTTATCCTTGTGGTATGTGGTGCTGTTCATCATGGACAGATCAATGGTAACACCCTGCCCGATATCTGCTGCACCAGGCCAGGTGGTATGGCCACCACTGCGCACAGCAAATGGGCATTGTGTTTCGCCGGTCTGGGTCAGAGTCGAGACAATGAGCGAGACATCCCCCGTAGAGTGCGGCTGGACAATACACGTAGGATCGAGCTGAACATTGACCGCAAAGTAAGATGACACGGACTCATTGTATGCCGTGCTGGTCGGATAAAGGACTTGGTCACGCAGGGAGGTCGCTTGCAAAGCGGCGCACTAAATAACAAGGCTATTAGTACACCCACTAAGTACTGAACACGAATCACATACACAAAATTGCGTAGAACCAAGTCCGAGGCTGGCCTCGGGCAGAATGCTAAGGACAGGGACTGCCGCAGTGGAGAAATTCATGTTGAGTTCGTCTATTGGAAACGCTCGGAAATAATTCCTCCGACTGTGTCCCTCAAGATGGCTACACTATCATAATATAAGTCGAAACGCTACAGCAAGCGGGCTAGGGAATACTCCTGCCCTTAGTGCATTATCGTAGCGGATTCCCCTTGCTCATATTTTGACATAGCCGGAGTGGTCCCGAGTCGCAACAAAGTACATGGCTACATGGGGCAAGTCAGCCCGTATGGCACGATTGGAATTGGATCAGCCATGGACGGCGTGTGTAAAGTTTTTCTGTGGAGTAGGCTGTATGAAGCGAAGGAGTTCATGTGCGAAAATCTATACGAGCAAGTCGATCAATTGCCGTCTGCGTTGTAAGACATGCTGGCAGGCCCAAAATGGCGATTGCACCGGTGGTTCAGATTGTCTACAGAGTATTAACTAACCGAGGCTTGATTTGACGGCTGGGCGGCCCGTTTAGTGGGTCTCTTATTGACGGGCAGGCACACTTTCTTCGCTGTGGAGCTCCCTTATATAGTGGGAAAGCTAGTTGGCAGCATACTAGGTTTTAGTGTTGTTCGAGCGGACGGGGAAACCAATCCGGAGGCTCGTCGGTATCTTTACCATGAAATAACATGAGAAGAGCGAAAATGGGAAAGGTCATTGAGTATAAAACAAGGCGTAGGTCGAACAGAGCCAGGGCTGAAGATGTTTCCGACGATTCCGCGGGATAGGGGTCAATGGGCGCGGAACACTGCCTAATCACCTAATTGACAGGGTCATGGCAGTTTGCTCAATGAAAAGGCGTTGGCTTGCGCTCCCTACTCGTTCTGCATTCATTACCCCTCCATGGGTTCCACCATCACCGTCGCATCTCCGAAGTTCAGCCAGCCCCCGCCTTCTCGTTGGGCCCGTCATTTTTGTTTGCTGCCAACCGCTTTCTACGATTCTCCACTTGGTAATTGGGTCTGCTGTCTAGACTCGGAAATAATCACCGGATGTAGCCTATCTGTTCAGATCTGGCTTTATTTGGCAGAATCCCGTGTGTTATGTGGCCAGATGCTGATAGCCAGACTACTAATATAATACCACTTATTGCACACGAGGCTGGAGATACCTTGGCGACATATTGCAGATGTGAATTTGTGGCGGTAGCAGTGAAACGCGGTCGAACATTTTGATTGAATCAGTACAGACTTGATATAGCGGAATACTCTGTAAGTAAGTCACTTCCCTCCCTTGCCAGGTCCATCCTGATTTCGAGGATGTTATACATCTTGTAAGATATTTGCCTTATTGCTTAAGATGAGCTAGGCGTAGTGGCTGAAGGGTAGGCCTCTCCGACTTTATATCTTAAAGGAAGTTTATGTAGCATCGTACTTTGTAACTGTAATCCTTATGTGAAGTTCTGAACTCTTCCTTTGGTGAGCCAGAATGGAATTTGTCATGAACACCTTTTTGTGCCGCTGTTCGTTCGACCAATGTTGGAGAGCGAGCTAATTGGAATCAGCCTTGTCGGCTCTTTTCGTTTTATCCGGGCTTGCAAGCCACCCAGCGCCTAGCAGACACAATACTTTGGTTTCTGGGTCCTTGTTTGATTCCGGGACTGAAGTGGGATAAGGATACAGACTGTCCCGCTGGCAGTGTCGTTGTCATTACCGACGCAGAGAATCAGAGCTAACAGTAAAGCTAGAGTGAGCTGAAGGTGTTGTCAGCATGAGAGTATCTGCATTTCTCTCCGGACCTTTTTCCAAAGACTAAACAAGGATGATTCCAATATTGCGAATGGACTTCACATATAATCAGAGCCTATGGTGTTGACTGTTGAGTTGCTCCGTCGCGGAATGAATCCGAGCGGCACGCGGCGGGGAAACAAACAGTGCAAACACCGCATCTTATCAGAAAACTTTCCCATCCCAACTGCGAAAGTTGATCAGTCAACTGCAGACGCCCCGGCCTTGTATCTGTCGCCGGTGCCGCAATGCTCTCCTGATTATACGGGCGCACGAGAGAGAAGGGAATGATTTCGCCATCTTCCCTAATCTTATGCCTGTGGTGCGGTTGCCTCTTGGCCCTCTTCATCTTCGATCATGAGCAGCCCAACTCCATATGAACCAGACGAAGACGACGACGACACATCGGAATACAAGCTCAAGATCAAGCAATCACAAACAAGCGCCCCGTTACCGGTTCCTCCGTCAACTGGTCCCACTTCGTCGACAACAAATCCACCCGTGCAAACGTCGAAGACGGAACGCAGATCCGCAAGAGGCACGCGGGCCCAGGCGCTAGAGGATCTACAATTATCGCTATCGAAGGAGTCTGCGGAAGCATACTCCAGCGTGCTTGCGGGAATCGTCGAAGATCATGCGCCCGTCCCTACAATCAACGGTGGTGAGAACCACATTACATCGCAGAATGGAATCGTGACCTGGACCCCGAAGGAAAAGGAGGTACTATATCATGTTTTGGATAGGAAGAGCAAGGATGGGGTTCAAGAAATTTCCCGTCAGCTGGGCTCAAAATCTGAGCTTGAAGTTCAGGAGCATTTGAACCTGCTCCATACGGGCCTGGAAAGACAGCACCTGAAGGATCGTCATACTAGGACAATTATTCTAGGTGAAGTACCCGCAGCAGCTGAAATAAGCAAGGACTGCTGTGATGAGCTCGACCAATACGCTGAATTGGTTTCGATGGAGGAGCAGTTGGCAGAAGATGTCGCTGGAAAGCAGAAGCATCAAGACCTGTGGATCATCAATCGGGAGACAGCAGAAGAGCTTTCGCAGAAAGTCAAGTCCCAGGGCGCCGATCCAAGTGCTAGCTCCAGTGCGCATCTTACGGCTGAGCTCTTCAATATGAGAAAGTGGATCCGGCTGTCAGAACGATTCTTCATGAATTTTGGCGGTGCACGACTGGAAGACAACTGGACCAATGTAGCCTTCGCGGATGAGACACCGTCCATGACTGCCGATTCGTTCGCGGACTTCTACGCCTTGACGATCAGTCTGACACGCCGTCTTGTTCAGTCATCTCTTTTCTTCGCAATGTCAAGGCTGCGGAATATGCGACAAACTGGCAATCAAAAGGCGAACGTTGTGAGGTCTCGCGATGTTAAGACTGCGCTGGACGTGCTCAACATGCAACGGGACCGTTCCGACTACTGGGTCGGCCTGGCGCGGCGATGCAGTTTGAAGGTTGAAGATTCTCGTCATCGAAAGGGGTGGAAATCAATACACATGGAGCACGATGAGGTAGAGGATATCTTGTCTGGTAAGATACCTTTGGAATCAGAGTCGCGTGAGAGAAGTGCCTCGAGGGGAAGATCAGGAAGTCGTGCTCCAGAGAATACGGATGTTGAGGACCTAGATTACAGCGACGACGAGTCTGAATACTCCTCCGCGGCATCATCCGTGCTCTCTTCCCCTACGTTGTCTCCAGTTGAAGAACAGTCAACAGATCCAGAGGACGACCATGCTGAACAGGTTGATGGTCAGATGAGCCGTCTTGAGGAAGTGGGCCTATGGAAGCTCATTGGTGAGCCACCCCCACAGTCCCTCGAAACCCGAATTCAAAAATATGATGCGCAAGATGCTGTCCCACGGAGGCCGGTTGGCCAGCGCAAGACAAAGGAGGACCTGGTCGATTGGCGCGACAGGACGTTTTATCGCAGCGAATGGGAGGAATACGGGCATGATCTTGTGGACCTATACGACGAGCTTTCAGAAAACCGGCGGAAGAGGCGACGTTTCGACCAGACGGATACAAAGCTTACAGATCGGTTGATACCGACTCCTGATCAGCCGCGTGCCGGCCTTTATGACACTCGAGTCATGGAAAATGACAGCGACCATGCGAATAATGAAGATGACTACGATGAAATGCGGGTGGATGAGCCGACACCATCCAAATCTGAAATCGAAGAGTTTCCAGATAGAGAAGGTTCCTCCTCACAGGGCGAGAGTCCTATATCCGAACATGCATCTCGCCTGATTGAAGAGCTTGGGGGTCATTCAGAAGGGTATCCGCCACGAAGAGACCTTAGATCAGGCGTTATGCTAGTCCCTTCCAAGGCCACGGAAGCAGATAGTCCTCCACGTCGTCGCCTTCGCGGGGCGATCAAGCCTGAATCGGATAGTGAAGCAGCGTCTAGTACTGACGACAATCTACCTGAGCTACACGCAGCCTCGTCCGAAGAGGAGGAGACCGATGAAGGCGAGGTGCCAATGTATTCCCACCCAATGAGCCCAGCCGATCCGGTGTCGGACTGATCGATCCTGCAGGACTGGGTATCACATAACTTGGTTATTGTATTCACGTCCGTTTTTGTATGAATATTTTGGGTGGCTTGATCCAGGTCTTTTGTATATAATGTCTTTCGGGATACCTACTTGCATGTTTATCTAGATACCTCGCCAAAGCGGCTATAGACTTTGTTTGGATACGAATTCAGCTACATTCCAAGATATCCGACTTGCATTGCATGAACGGCGCGGCTGGATAGTGTTGAGTCTCAGTCCGTTATAAAATGATACAGCCAGTACACACAATTGACCTTCATAATAAAGGAAGAAATAGATGCATTCTCTCATCTTATAGATGAGCTATATGAGAATAGAATAAAAACAAAAAGGAAAGGGCCGAACGCGATTTGAACGCGTGACCTTAAGATCTGCAGTCCCACGCTCTACCCCTGAGCTACCGGCCCCTTTCTTGTTGAGAAGATTAGCAGTCTTTTTGTTTTATATTGCTCTGATTGATCAAATGGCTCAGAACCTCGGATTTCTTGAGTTCCTGCTGGTTCCTGACTGTCCATGTGTTTGGCTTCCCCTGGATTATCCACAAGGTACTACTTGCTTTGACATTCTCAGGTCTGCAAATCATCTAAGCAAATTCACTGAAGCTACATGCGACAGATTCTCATAAGTTCTTGAATGTGGTTGTCTCTCCCAATTGATGGGTGAGGTAGTGCACGCAATGGTATACTGCTTTGAAAGGGCTGCGGAGTTCAACCCATGGCTATATACGTTTCTCGGCGTGTCTTTTATGAATAATGGTGCGTGTCTGCAAATTGGGCTACCGCTCAAGGATCTACTGTGTATGATGTAGCAATTCGAGAAGTAAAAAAAAATCCAGGCCATAGGTTCATATGAACGTCGACCTGTATATGAAATCCATAAATCAAAAAGCAAGGGCCAAGCGTGGATCGAACACGCGACCTAAAGATCTGCAATCTCTCGCTCGTACCACTGAGCTATTGACCCGTTTGCTTGGCAAAGTGGCAAAACTTGTGCTCTACAAGCGGGGCTGTATCTTCCGCTGATAGTCTACTAAGCTGGGATTGTGTATGTACCAAGTCTACATGGCGCATTTGGTTGTATATGCTGGGTTCGCATATCATATTGGCCTCTATATGGCCCAAAGACTGAGGCAATTTCCGATTTGATCTCACTGCGAGGTGACCTGGTTGTACTCTTCACTTCAAACCCGCCATCGTGATGAAATACTAACGTGTAGACCTGGTATATATATTGGCCGCTCTTGGTAGTCTCGGCAACTTGACATTTCAATATTAGTACTACTAACATCAATGTCACCCACAGCCATGTTCGTACAGAAAATAAAGGCAATAACTCCTGCCAACAATATCATAAAAGCATATAGCTACCAGAAGTACCTCATATGTCACCATTATCACGCGATAAGATACACATGAAACCCATATGCCAAGGCAGGGCCGTCAGCTTAACCCGCCTGGTATAGAACAGAAACAGGTACGCAGAGGATCGGAGGTCTCATGGAAGAAGTGGTATGAACAGTATTCCTGATAGCTTGAATCTCTTCATGGGTAACCTCATTCACGAGCTGACAAGGGATACCTATGCCCACCGTAATGTATACTACGTCAGATACAAACACCAGGTCGACCACGCAACCAGAGACATAAAAGTGACCGAAATACCAGATCCAGGGGGATGAGATCTGCCGGCCTTTGAAAGTCCCGGACCCGGTGGAGTTGATGTACGGAGCTGCCTGTCCGTCTTACAAATCAACAATCAACAATATAGGCATACGTCACAGAAACGAATACTTCTGACATTTCGCAGCCCCTGGCCCAATATAATTTTCTGGGTGCGATATTGCGTTGCATTGTTGGTTATCACTTGGTTTGTCAGCATGGAATACGAAGAGCCGAAACACCGACATAAGCTGACGATCAGAGGCCGAAGTCAATGGTTTCTAAGCAACATCGTCTATGACGGAGACAACAGCTGTAGAAATGTATCGAACGAGTAAATGAATCTTATATAAATGAATACATAGATCTGCCAATTGATATCCATCCCCAAAATACCCTCTGACACCAGAAATCACAGATCACTCTCAATACAGCATCCACCAACTCCCATACAGCATGTCTCTCAAACCCATCACCCTCTGGAGCCACACCTACGGCCCCAATCCCTGGAAAGTGGCCATGGTACTCGAAGAGCTCGAGCTCCCCTACAAAACAACATACGTAGCTTCTGGAGACTTCAAAAAAGAACCTTTGACCCTCGTCAACCCCAACGGCCGCGTCCCCGCCATCGAGGACCCTAACACGGGAATCACACTGTGGGAGTCCGGCGCCATCATCGAATATCTGACCGAAACATACGACAAAGACAACAAGATCAGTTTCCCGGCTGGTACCCCCGAGTTCTTCGAAACGAAACAATGGCTACACTTCCAGATGAGTGGGCAGGGCCCGTACTTCGGTCAGGCTGTTTGGTTCCGACGACAACACCCTGAAGTGGTTCCTAGTGCTCAGGAGAGATACAAAAAAGAGGTTCTTCGGGTGTCATGGGTGCTGGACAACGTCCTAAAAGACAGGGAATATCTGGTCGGTGGACGGTATAGCTACGCGGACATCTCGTTCGTGCAGTGGTATAATATCTTTGGATTCGCTACGGACAATGATGTTGACCTGGAGAAGGAATACCCGAACCTTTACGCCTGGCTGGAAAAAATCAAGGCAAGACCGGCTATCTCTAAGACAGCCAATCTACAGAAGGAAGCAATCGCAAATGAAACGCACTGAGTGGATTTGGATTTGGTGTGTCATTCAATATAGGATGTCTATCGGGAATTCGAGAAGGGTCGAATATGAGGACCATGTATGTAATATGTTAAATTTCGAGAACAATCAGTAATTATTCTCGTACCTTGGATATCTTACAACCAAAGCAATAGCATATGGATTGCGATGTCAGAGCAGAGTAGGGCTGGTAGGGAATAGATCGATAATGTGGAGAGAAGAAGCTCCATCCGCGATGGGGAAGAGCCAGGTAACGACTAGTCCAAATACGGCTAGCGCATTGTATGGTCTTGGCGCGAGTTTTTGGAGCGTCGGTCCGTGTCGCGACAGTCGCTCTGCCTCCAAGCCACTCATCCATCAATCTCTCGTCGCTGTCTGGTGGAGTCATCCACCCCCATTCTATCTTGCATATCCCTAATACCCTTTCCTTTCACGTCTTTACCATATAGAGGGCCGCGTCCGCGCCCCGCCTACCTTTCTTCTGAGCAGAGCCAAGTCCCTTGCTCTCTGCCACCCGCGACCTCAGCTTCCCGTCGTCGACTATCGTGCCAACAAGATGGAAGACAACCAGGTTATGTCTGGTGGCGCCACTGAGGATGCTCAGGCTATTAACGTGGCACAGGATGCCCCAGGTGATGTGATTACCACTTCCGGTGCGTTCTCCCTCTTTCCGCCCCTAAGGGGATTGGAATATGCCAACATTCGCAATCGTGACACCCAGGATCGCAATCGCATCAGGGATCTCCTGAGAAAAAGACCGAGACTGGCCCCGATACTAATAACCCGCTAGATGCCCCCGCTTCACCCAAGCGCCAGAATGCCGATGGCGAACCCGAGGATGAGGAGATGGGCGGCACCGAGACGGAGACCAAGAAGGAGACCGATGGAGGCGAGGACCTCGCTGATGTTGCCGCACAGTCCGGCGCTGAAGGTGCTACAGATGAACAGCCGGCGCAGGCCAAGGCATCCATTGAAGCCTCCGCGCGCTCACATCTCGTTTCGCAAACCCACGCCATCATCCTCCCCAGCTACTCCACCTGGTTCGACATGCACCTCATTCACCCGATCGAGAAGAAGGCTTTGGCGGAGTTCTTCAACGGCAGAAACCGTAGCAAGACCCCTGCCGTTTACAAAGATTACCGTGATTTCATGATCAACACCTACCGCTTGAACCCTATCGAGTACCTCACAGTCACTGCGTGCCGCCGCAACCTTGCCGGAGACGTCTGTGCGATCATGCGCGTGCACTCCTTCCTGGAGCAATGGGGTCTCATCAACTACCAGGTAAGTATCTTCCCGGTGCCAACCTCAGTCCCGAGTTGCTGATGCCTTGACTCAGGTGGATCCCCAAACACGTCCGTCCAACATCGGCCCTCCTTTCACTGGCCATTTCCGAGTGGTCGCCGATACCCCCAGAGGCCTCCAGCCATTCCAGCCCGGACCCAACCACTTCGTCAAGCCCGGAAAGCCTTTGCCGGCCACGGATCGTGCAGCATCGGCCACCCCGGCTGCCAAGGCCGACCTGAACCTCGAGATCCGTCGCAATGTGTATGATGACAAGGGCAAGGAGATCACCCCTGCTACGGAGGACAAAGACAAGCAGACCAATGGCGAAGGCTCAACGAACGGTACGACGGGCGATTCGACCAAGGCGATGGAGAGCGCTTCCAAGGAACCGAGAAAGAAGTTCAACTGCTTCTCCTGTGGCATCGATTGTACTCGCCTCAGATTCCACTACGCAAAGGCGACACCAGCAACCGCCAACCCAGCTGCACCTGACACCAAGTACGACCTGTGCCCCAACTGTTTCCTTCAGGGCCGGATGCCGTCCAGCCACAGTGCTTCCGACTTCGTCAAGCTCGAAGACAGCCCATATTCGATTGCCCCCGACCGGGATGCTCCGTGGTCGGATTCGGAGCTTGTGCTGTTGCTGGAGGGATTGGAGAACTTCGACGACAACTGGGAACAGATTGCCACTCACGTTGGATCCAGGACAAAGGAGGAGTGCGTGATGAAGTTCTTGCAGCTGGAGATCGAAGACAAGTATCTGGATGATATGCCCGAGGTTCGTGCAGGCAATGGGCGGGAGCCTATCAGCCAGACCGAGAACCCTGTCCTATCCGTGGTTGCGTTCCTTGCACAGATGGCCGAGCCTGCCGTGGCCGCAGCTGCCGCCGGCCGCTCCGTGGAGGAGATCCGCAAGGAATTGAGAAAGCAGCTCGAGAAGGGCTCTGGAGCCCAAGACAAGGGCAAGGAAAAGGAAGGCAGTGCCACAGTCAAGGCCGAGGATTCCATGGAAGTGGACTCTGCTCGCGAGGAAGCAACCGAGCAAGCTGTCGAGGTCGCTGGCTCCGACAAGGGCAAGGCTTCCCTTCCCACTGTGGCCCTCGCGGCTTCCGCCGCTCGTGCTGGTGCTCTGGCTTCTCACGAGGAACGTGAAATGACCCGCCTGGTCTCATCGGCCGTCAACGTCACCCTCCAGAAGTTCGAGATCAAGCTGCAGCAGTTTAATGAGATGGAGGAGATCATCGAAGCCGAACGCCGGGAACTTGAGCTCGCTCGCCAGCAGCTCTTCCTCGACCGTATGGCCTTCAAGAAGCGCGTCAAGGAGGTCCAGGACACTCTGCAGGCCGTCAGTCTTCGGGGTCCTGGCGAGGAGACCAACAACATGCTCGCCGATGCTGCTACGACCGGGATCGGCAACCGCTATAACTTCCAACCGGCAGGAGGTGACGTTAGAGGCGTGCAGCCGTTGAGTGCAGAAACAGGCGCTGACTACAAGACGTTGGACCTGTAATGTACCTATGAAAAGGGAATGTTTCGCCAATGATGACATGCTTTTTTCCAACAGTTGGAGAGAAATTCAATAACCCTTTCCTTTCATTTCTAACGACCGGACGAAGGAGCCGACCGGGGTTGCTTTTTCAATAATATCCATTGTATTGTACAATATCATAGGGCTGGACAGGAGGAGTGAAGGAGAAGATGGGATGAATGAGCCGTCAGGATGTATCTGACAGGGACAGACAAGATGGTAGTAAAGTGATGTTTGATGGATTGATGGATGGCTTGCACTATGATCTGGTCTGATTTTTTTTTTTCTTTTCCCTTTTACATTCGATTTACAATCCGTTAGGTAGGAAAAGGCGCAATTGTTTTGGGAGTTCAGAGCTAAGTATTGTATGCGTGTGCCTTGCAAATCGATGTTCTATTGTTGAATGGTTCTTTATCCTGCTTATTAGTAGTAGTTTCGAGTTCGCTCTCTGGTTGGTAGTAGTCTCCTATATCGACGTGCTCAATGCTGCAAGTATGCTTAGATGTATTATAGATCACATCGCTCTACAAAATGTTTGCTTAGTATCTATTGACATTAGTGGCATCTACCTACCCAGCCCGGAAATCAAGAGGTATATATATCATGCTAAGTAGCCTGCACATGATACTGAACAAGACATCACCGTTACTTCAATCCCAATCTTCGAAAATATTTGAACCGACAGCCACTCCCCGTTAAACAAACAAGCAACCTCCTCTCATAGCAGAGGTGTCAATTCAATAGATACCACCATCTCCTGACACAGAAGATGTGATACCTCAACACCGACTGCTGATCATCCCCATTGACGAACCAATAATGAACGAGCATATCGCTCCACCCATGCCACTGCCCGAGTAGTATGATGTTTCTACGGAGTACAGCGCTTACTATTGAACTGGGATGAATGGTCCTGATCCGTCCGTTTGCTCACTGAACTGCAGTGGACGCGTCGGCGCGTACTTTTGTTTACTATTTCAACTACTTCATATTCGTCTTTGACTTTGCTTTTCCTGTGTCTCTTGAATATATATATTACCTAGGGGTTATACAAATTGGCTTATTACAAGCGTGTCGAACAATTATCTATTCGATATGCCTGCCCAGAAGAGGACCTCCACCGATATGATTGATCCTGCGATCGCTACTGGCTTTGATAAAGAGAATCAGCCAGTAGCAGAAGTAGCACCGCCACCTGACAATACGCAGAAAAGCTGCGACGAGATCCGACAGAGGATACGGGATTTCATCGCTTCAGGACAGATGAGCGCTAGCGAGTTCCAGCGCGCAATTAACGTGTCTCCGCGGTCATATTCTGAGTTTTTGAGCCAGGAGGGCGTCAAGGGCGCCCGGTCGGCGACGTATAAGAATGCCTTGAAGTTTTTCAACGGCCGGAGCGGAGGGATCGTGCCGTTGGCTGCGACTCAGCCTGCGGCAACTGCGGCAGGAAGTGCCCCGAAGCGGGCGAAGAAGAATCAGCCAGCGAGTCCGGCTGCGGTTGACCTTTCGGATGTTCAGTTGGTTGGAGATGAGGATGGGAGTGTGCAGGTCTTTGAAACGTGTGATGTGGTGAGGAGGAAGATCAGGGCGCATCTGCGTAAGACTGGCGTGACGCATGCGGGCTTCATGAGAGAGGCTGCGAAGGCGGCGTACCCGCAGGGCACGAAGAGGCTGAATGCGAATTCGTTCGGGGAGTTTCTCAAGAAGAAGGGCCCTACCGCTGGGAGCTCGGGGTCGGTTTTCTACGCCTCGTATGTGTACTTTGAGAAGTTGAGGATCAAAAATGGAAAGCCGAAGGACGCCTTTCGACTTGAGATGGAGAAGCTCTGGCCGAATGGCTTTGAGCTTGAGAACGCAGCCAACAGGAGGATGTGGTGTGGTCCCAATGTGAGACCCTGGGTTGACAAGTATGGGATGGTGCACTTTTCGTGACTGTGACTGTCGGCTCATTTGCGGTCCATCTTGTTTGGAAATGTTCGAGAATTGGGTATTGTGTCCTTTGTTACATACTCCATGATTGATTATGTTGAGCGGTTAAAATTTATCCTGATGCTTCTTTTGGTTGATCTTTGATCATTCGACCATTGGCATCGACGCCTGCGAAGAGCTCAGACGCTGTGCTTTCGTCCAACTTCAGGGCCAGCTTAGGTCCCGAGTAGAGTACGTCCCAGGTGAATGCAGGCTTCCCGCTTCTAGTATCCCAGTTCACGCGAGGAACTAGACAGGATATGCGTTTCCAAAGCCTCTGCATGAACCGTCGGGTGATGTTATGGGGTCGTCCGTCAACATAATTTTCAAAAGTATCCCCCTTCTGTGGTCCCTCTATCAGAAAGCCAGCATCTAGAGTAGACTCAGGGGCGGAAGAAGTCCCAATTGCCTTTCGTCGTTTGGGTGGCGCCCATGGTATAGTCCCCGACATAAGACCCTCCAACACCTTGAGCTCCGAGTCAGGCAGTGGTGGAAACAGATTGTGTAGCGTCTGATTGTACCATTTCCTCCGAATGTTCCTGCGACGAGACGGAGCAAGCGGTTTGCCCCAGATATTCTCCGCGGGAACCACTGGTTCGACTTGCTTGGTATAGTACCCGGCATTCAGCGTCGTGATCATTGAGTTACGGTTCTGAGCTTTCAGGAGATCAACCATGACCGAAGGGGGCCGCCATCCATCCTCGAACATCTCTGGTGCTTCCTGTGCCACTGTCTGCACATCCGCCGCATTCAATGCGTCCACTGCGTCCGCTGGTGTGATGAATGCTTGTATGAGCTCTTGTCTCCGTCGCCCTCTGCGGCCATAGGCCTGCTGCAAGACCTTTTCCAGCGGCTTTGTATATCCTTCATTGGCTCGTCTGAGCAGAGACAGTTGGTGTGTTGCTGACTTCCGGAGTAATAGAAGTCGATGTTGATCCGTCTCTTTCTTCTGGGTATACCGTCGGAATCGTTGGAGGATCTGGGCATGAAATGTAACTCTGGCGACGGGGTCAGGAAGGTAGGAGCATTCGCGGAGCAAGGAGCGGAGAAGGTGACGCCATGTTTCGGGAGGGATGTGAATGGCAGACATGGTGTCTGATGTTATGCCTTTATCTTCTAATCAATTCCTCTTAAGCCCGGAGTTGATTCCGCAGCACCGCGAGGCTATCGTACAGAAGCAGCAGGCGGTGAATATATAACACCCAAACAGGCAATAGATGTTTTCGAGGCAGCGATACGCGAAATCCGGTTAGCCGCGAACGCGACCGGAGCGAATAACGAACGCCCCCGCGACTTCAATCAACTCATTCATCTCGTTCCTTTCCCCCATTTTACTTCCATGCAAGGCTATGTTGTACAGGGTTACCTAAAAGAGCTGCAGATAGAGTGGCTTTTGCGCTACTTGTAAATTACTCCGGGTTGTTCAGGGTCTGACTGCCTCGCAAGAATCAGTCTCATTGACTTGTCTCATCCCTTCGCGGTCGGTGCGCTAGCCACGCGCCTCTCTCTTTTCGCGCGACGTTCCGAATCGCCTGGCCGGTCAAGTCAGACTGGAGCAGTAGATCCCAGGATAGGTGCAGTTCCCCACATGCTTTCGTGAATCTCTCATTCTGTCATGATGCTGTTCACTTGTTGAACTGGCCCTGCTATTGGCTTGTGGTACCTGCAATCCGTATTTATTAACCTTTTTTTACTTTTTCCTTCGACAGAGCAGCCAGCCTTGAATCGGTGTCTGGGTCGGGCACCCTAACACTGCTAATTCACCGTTCCTTCAATGGCTTCCAATAACAACCACCCAGCTCGCCCAGGTTTACCCATGTCCTACTCCCAGAGCAGCATGAGCTCCGCCAATGGCATGGTATTCTCGCAATCGCAAATGGGCTCCTTCAACGCCTCCCAGTCCGTCTCCTCCACCCCTCGAGCTACGCCTCCTCCGAAAGGGTCGCAACAGTCGATGTCCTTTGGTTACTCGAATGGCCTCCCGCACGGCCCTCGGTCAAGCTTCGCAGGTTTTGAGGACATGAACGGGTATGGGACAATAATGTACCATGAAGAGTTTAAGCCTCAAATTTACAGGGTCAGTTTATCTTCATCTGCGCATCTTCGATTCCCCAAGCGTTACTGACTCGCTTTGCTGTGTCGACAGGCTGTGTACTCTAACGTCTCCGTCTACGAAATGGAAGTGAACGGAGTCGCCGTGATGAAACGCCGCTCCGACTCGTGGCTCAATGCTACGCAGATTCTCAAGGTTGCCGGTGTGGTCAAGGCGAGGAGGACAAAGACACTAGAGAAAGAGATTGCAGCTGGCGAGCATGAGAAGGTCCAAGGAGGGTATGGTAAATACCAAGGAACCTGGGTCAACTATCAGAGGGGCGTGGAGCTCTGCCGTGAATACCACGTCGAAGAATTGCTGCGACCCCTTCTTGAATATGATATGGGCGGCACAAATGGTACGGCGCAGGACTCACTCGACACCCCGACAAAGGAGCAAGCCATGGCTGCGCAACGGAAACGCCTGTACAGCGGGATGGATAATCGCGGCATGAGCCAACCTCAGCAAGGCACATTCTTCCAGAACATCTCTCGCACGGCTGCGACGGCAGTGAATGCCATGAGCAAGGCTCGCTTTGACTCACCTGCCGCTCGCGGAATTGATCAAAGGCGATCAAGTGTTATACGAAAGCCTTCGCACCAGATGAGCAGCCAAGATACCCACATACCTCTGAACAGTCAACAAAGCATGTATAGTGTGACGTCTGATAGCGGTTTCGGGAACAATTACCAGAGCAACGGCCGATATGCTATGCACGACGGTGCCAGCTTCGACCACGAGGAGGCAAACGAACCTCCGCGGAAGCGCGTGCGGTCTGCCTCCCACCAGGCGCCGTCATTTGGGATGGCCTACGAGCACTCGACGGCTTCCATTGCTGAACCAACACCAACTGAGCCGAATGACTCCTTTTACCAAGATATGGATGTTTCAACATCGATAGTGGATGGTAGCAAGCGCGGGTTTGAGCCTTTGCCGCCCGCCACCACCCCGGAGAGGTTTCAGAAGATGAAGCTCATCATGACATTGTTCCTCGACAAGAAGACCCGCGATTTTTCCACCCATCCAGCTTTGATGCAATTAACTGGGGAGGATCTGGAAATTCCGTTGGACGAATATCGGAACAATGCGCTACACTGGGCGGCAATGCTCGCTCGGATGCCTCTTGTCTATGCACTTGTCGAGAAAGGAGTTAGCATCTTCCGTTTGAACGGTGCAGGTGAAACGGCACTGCAAAAGTCCGTAGGGACGAGGAACAACCTGGATTATAGGAGTTTCCCGCGTTTACTGCAGGTGCTGGCTCCAACTATTGACATGGTCGATTACAGCGGGAGAACGATCCTTCACCACATCGCTGTTATGGCTGCTACCGGTGGTGGAGGTCACGTTTCTGCTAAACACTACCTGGAAGCATTGCTGGAGTTCATAGTCCGCCATGGTGGTACATCTTTGAGCCGGCAAACGCCGAACGGTGCCTCGGAAAATGGGCAAGGTTTATCACAGGCTGGTGAAGTAATGACGCTCGGGCGTTTCATCTCTGAAATAGTAAATCTCCGAGATGACCAAGGGGATACAGCCCTCAACTTGGCTGGGCGTGCACGTTCTGTGCTTGTTCCCCAACTACTAGAAGTCGGGGCTGATCCTCATATACCGAATCACACAGGTCTTCGACCAGCAGATTACGGTGTTGGTGTAGACATGGTTGACGGTAACGCTCAGTCGCAGCAAGCTGGGAACGGGGGTGACTCCTTCATGGACCAGCTGGAGAAGACGAAGAAAGAAATATTGGATTGTAAGCGCTCCTGGGATGAAAGTTACGTATAAAAACTGACTCAATAGCGACTGTGTCTCAAATCACATCAATTGTCCAAGAGACATTGAGTGGTCTTAACAGAGATTTGGCCTCCACCCTGGCTAAGAAGCAAGAAAAATTCGACCACTGGCACTCGAAGATTCGAGAGTCGGCCAAAGCACGACAGATCGAGCAAAAACAGCTTGATGAGCTCAAGTCCAAATCGTCCGACCGTATAGAGCTTAGCAGACGGTTTAAAAACCTGGAAAAGTCCTCTGACGACCTGCTGGTGATTCTGAAGGGTATCCAGGGCGATTCATTAGATTTGTCGAAGAAGTGCGCGATTGGGGACGCCGACAAAGAACACGGGCTCGACATTACCGAGTTCGAGGCCATCTTCCCCGAAACATTCGACCCTGCCTCTGGATTTTCCGAGCAGCAGATGGCCTTCCTTCGCTCTCTCCCCGCACCCGAAACCCTACAACAAAAGGTCGAGGGTTATCAAAAGTACAATGAGGACATATTGAATGAGGTCGAACGCCTGAAGTCCAAAAACGTGGTTTTGGGCCAGAACTACCGGCGCATGGTCATGGCCTGTACGGGATGGACTGCCGAACAGGTGGATGAAGCTGCTGAGGGGCTGACACAATGTGTTAAAGAATTGAATGAAAATCCTGTCCCGGAAGATGAGGCTATCGAGATCTTGATGAAAGATCGTGGCCAGGATTGGTGAACTCTGTTAGGCGTGATATGAGGAAATGTTATGGTACATATGCCTGGTCCGAATCTTTGGATTCGTGGAGGCTTTTGGGAGCGATACAGCGATTCTTGTTTATTGATGCTACCGGTTGGCTCTTGTAAATCAAGGAGCATTGTTTATACGGCAGGGCTGCGGTGTTTGAGCATGTTTGCTTGGATGTTTAACGCGTTGACGTCTGTATTTGCAGATACCCCAGGGCACATATAATGGATTTTGACGGCTAGTCGGATGGCGATATACCCGACAGGTGAATAGCTGTGCAATTGAATACAATCATCATCTCCTGGTTTTACTGCCTAAATTTGTCCATTGATCATATGGTGCGTTTGCAAGTGTAGAAGTGCGTGGCCATAGCAACCATGGCGGTGGAAAGGGTGCTACTTGCAGGAATAGAATACTGCCACGTCCTAGTACAAGGCGTCACCGCCTGGCGATGGCTTATCGATAAACCGGCAGAAAAAAGTGCAAAAAAGGCACCAAGCGGGATGGCGGGGTTCTCGCGGTCTCGCGTTCAGTCCTTCTTTTATCTTCCACGGTTGCTCCTTTGGACGGTTCTCCTCTGGCATCAGGTTCGCGGGGTAGTATTCTCATATAGGGACGCACAGGTCATGTTATACTGAGACTATCGTTCCTGTCAATTCATCCAAAACCCCCGACTTGAGGGTCTCTTGCCGTCTTATTAATTCAGATCGCATAGAAGCCTAGTCGGAAGATCGCATTGATTCTTAGCAGCACAACTATTTTCGCTCTTCTCTTAACGCATCAAACGATACCCCGTGACAGTCATTATGGCTGACGCTACTGTCACTTACCCTGCGTCTCTGAACACCCTGTTCGACGAGTCATCCGCTCTTCGGGAACAATATGACCCCATCCGCCTGGCAGATGCGGATATAGTGCCCCTCCTGCAGCTGCCCTCCGCAAAAGCAGTCTTTGGACATGACGCAGCAGATTCGGAGGCTCTCGGCCGTGTCTCTCGCAAAGAAATCTCCTACACTACTTTCTTGACGGAAAAGGCAAAGACTCTCGCCCAGACACCAGTGGATGGCTTGACCTCTGAGCAACAGCGCTCTCAATTGCTCCATATCGGTCTGGCCGCTCTGTTCGGCTTCTTGCAGTCGAATGTTACTGGTCCTCCGTTGGAATTCAGCCCTGCTGATGTTATCGTTCCTGCTGGTCTGCGGCCGGATGCGGCAGCCCTTCGCGCCGTCCGTGATCATGTCATCCGGGATCTCTCGGTGGACGGTGAGGCCGCTTACAAGCTCACTCCTAATGTGGAACTGTTCGCCGTGGCAAAGGCTCTGCTGGTGGATGCTGATGCCCTGGTGACAAACGGTCCGTTGGTGGCTAGGACTGTGAGGGTTCGTGTCAACTTCCTTCACCAGAAGATGCTGTCGGAAGTGACTGGAGCGCTGCAAGATTCCATCTACGCCGATTTGGAGGAGCTCGAAAAGCTTGTTCTGAGCGACAAGTGCACTGCACAGGAGAAGGGTCGGTTCCTTCTCGAAAGAGCTACCATCCATACCCACCATAGCTTTGATGCGAAGGCCAGAAAGGATCTCGAACATGCTGCTGCGGAACGGAAGTTCGAGTTCGCTCTAACTGGTAAGCTCGGAAAGAGAACCAAGTTCCAGGACCGTGATATCAGTCAGCTGGTCATCCTGGCCAAGAGCGCCGATGCCGCCGCGGAATTGGACGACAAGCCCTCCGTCCCGAAGAAGCTGGATCTCAATGATGACACTCTTCTCGAGTCTATCTCCTTTACCAAGCCGGATGCTCAGAAATCCGACGATACACAAGTGACCGTCCAGGAGGAGTCAAACCTTCCTCCTGCCCTGGCATCTCTCGATCCCGGCGACCAGCCCAAGCTTGACCCCGTCGACTCTGCTATCCTCCTCGCTTTCGCATCTGCCATCACAAACACCGCACCGGAGAACGGTCTCACCCGAGAGGAAACACAGCCGTACGCGACCCGTGTGCTCGAGGGTGGCAGTTCGAACTGGCAGATCTACACTCAGGCCCTGCTGGTACGCAGCCGAGTCGAGGGCTACAAAGCCAGAACTGTCGAGAGATCCGTCCTGCAGATGCAAGCTCTCGTCGACCAGGTCATCGCCGACACCGCCACCTCCGATGAACAAGCAGGCACGTCCGTCGACGAGCCCACTACTTTCCTTCCTCGACCCGAGAAATCGGAATCCGCCTCCGCCGCCGAGCGTCTGGAGTACATCTGGATCCTGAGCTTCTCCACCCGCTGGAGCCTGGAGGCCGAGCTCGCCACCCGCTGGGTCAATCTTGGTGGTCTGCGCACTGCCCTGGACATCTACGAGCGTCTACAGATGTGGGCCGAGGCCGCTCTCTGCTACGCCGCCACCGAACGAGAGGACAAGGCCAAATACCTCGTCCGCAGACAGCTCTACCAACCCACCGGCACGGACCCCGACGACGAGAACGAGAAATTCGACGGACCCGAACTCTCCCCTCTCCCCGCCGATGCTCCCCGCCTCCTCTGCATCCTGGGTGACATCGACATCGACCCAGCCATGTACGAGCGCGCCTGGGCAGTCTCCAACAACAGATACGCTCGCGCCCAGCGCTCCCTGGCCCGTCATTACCTCAGCCTGAAGCCCCCAGCCCTCGACAAAGCCGAAGACGCCTACCTCAAGAGTCTGCACATCAACCGTCTCAACCACGGCGCCTGGTTCGCCCTCGGCTGCGTGCAACTAGAGCTCCAGAAATGGGACGACGCCATCGACTCCTTCACCCGCACCGTACAACTCGAAGACACCGACGCTGAAGCCTGGAGTAACCTGGCTGCCGCGATCCTGCGCTCTCCCAAACCCGCAGAAACAACCGAACCCTTCCCCATCCCCATCACCGAGGCCCCCACCAAGGCCGACGACGAAGAAGACGAAGAAACCCCCAGCCAGCCCGCTCCCGAAGACCCCTACAAACGCAAACGCGAAGCCCTAGCGGCCCTCCAACGCGCCGCCCAACTCAAACACAGCGACGTCCGCATCTGGGACAACGTCCTTACAGTGGCAGCCTCCATCCCCCCGCCCTTCACCCCCTTCCGCGAAGTCATCACCGCCCAACGCCGCGTCATCGAGCTCCACGGCTCCAAGAACGGCGAGAAGTGCATCGACCTCCCCATCACAGGACTACTCGTCGACCACCTCGTCACCGCATACAACTACTCCGACCTCCTCATCTCCATCGATGGCGACGACTCCACTGCAAAGGTCGTCCGCAGCGGCACCATCGCCGGCCAGATCCTCTCGCTCATCGACACCAGCATCGTCCCGCTGATCACCCACTCCGCGCCGCTGTGGCTCCTCGTCGCGAGAGTCGAGGTGTTCCGCGAACGCCCGAGCATGGCCTTCGAGGCGCATGAGAAGGCGTGGCGCGCGACGGTTGCGTCGGCATCGCAGGGCGCGTTCCAGATGGCTGATGAGAAGAGGTGGATGGAGATTGTGAGGGCGACGGAGAGGTTGGTGCGTGATGGATATGCGCGGTTTGGTCCGATGGATAAGGAGGGTACGGAGGAGATGGTCGCGAAGGACTGGAGGTTCAAGGCGAGGAGTGCGGTTAGAGGTATTCTGGGTAAGGGGAAGGAGTTTTGGGAGGATAGTGAGGGGTGGGCTAGGTTGAAGGAGTTGCAGAGTGAGGTGGGCAGTAATTAGTAGTTGTGATGGTTGGTTGGTTGGTTATGTGATGGATATTTAGAAAGAAAAAGTATTACACTGTTCTTGATTGTGATTGGTTGCGAGAGCAGAAGCAGCATATACATAGATCATTTATGAGAGTTCATCTGTTCGTTTCATTCGGTTGAGTCTAATTTGTAATAGAATCGCAGGGTGCATTTACGCATCTATACCTGTAGACAACTAAGTACTCTCAACCTTCCTCTTCAACATCCCACAGAAACTCTCAAACAAAACCGTATCCCTCCCCTTCAGCCATCTCACAATCACCCTCACTCCCTTCTCATCAATCGCATCCTTCTTCACCTGCACCTTGAACCCCAGCGCCGCCTTCGTCTCGTCAATATCCCCCATCTCAGCCATCGCATCCGGGTTCTGCATCTTGCGACGCGCCTGCCGAGACCACACGTTCTGCATGGCGAACCCCACTCCCGTGGCGAGGTTCTTGCGCCAGAGCCACTGAATATGCAGGGCGGAGAGCTCGGTGTCTATTTTGCCGCTGACTTCATCGATGGACTCGGACTGTGTCGCGAAGATGTATTCTGAGGGGAAGGGGAGGAGGTGTTTGGGGATGGCGGCGGTGCCTCGTGCTATGGACTAGTGGGTCGTTAGATTTATTGTTTGGGGAAATGGGATAGAGAGGGGTAGATCGTACGACTGTTGGACGGAGATCCGTCCATGACCAGGCGATGGCCCATCTTCGGGTCTTGTTTCCTTGGACGAATTCGGTCACGGCGTAGTTGTTGTTCTTGTGTTCGAGGAGCGTCTCGATGAGGACGGACACGCTGCCTAGCTTGCCGAGCATGGTGGTGTACCAGATTACTCGCTCGCGGAGGTGCAGGCTTTCCTCGATCATGCGCGTGATGAAGGCGATTTCGCCGCCTGTGGTGACCATTTCTACTTCGGCGCCGGTGCAGGCCTGTTGATATTAGCGAGGGTGAGGGAGCGGGGAGAGAATAGGTATTACTGTGAAGGGAGGTCGCTCTTTGGCTTCTGCGGAAGCTATTAATTCATCGCGCGAGGCGTAGAATGGGGGATTGCACATGGTGAAGTCGAGTCTGTGGTGGGTTAATTGTATAGAATAGTAGAAGTGGGGTTTGGATTTACCTGTCGACATTGAGCTTCGTGTTTAATGGAATCAGCTCATCCTTCGGGTCTGTCTGGATGATTTCAATGCGAGAATCGAGTTTGTTCGCAGAGACTGTATCTCGCGATGTTCGGATATTGTCATTGTCGATGTCTGCGTATGTGAGTTGATGCGCATACAGTATAGTATGTGAACATACCTGTTGCGACGAAGCGCCAATGAGGTCGCATGGAACAACCTAGCAGGGGGTAGATGCTGCAACATCCTGTCCCACTACACTAGTGGGTTAGCGACCGGGTTCTCCGAAGGTGGAGTGGTGAGTTACATGTCAAGCCCAATAACTTCTCGGTCAGGGTCATAGTTATCACGGTATTCATCGCCAGTGGTGTCGAGCAGATCTTGCAGCCACAGAATGTAGTTCAGTCTATACTGGGGTTAGATGCATTACACCACGCAACTAGTCCATCGACAGGCCATTCATTTACCTATTCGGGACCTGCACGTGTCCTTGTTAGCTGCAGGAACGGACATCGGCAGCTGGCAGACGTACCGGTGGACATAATCGATTCTCCGGAATCTCGACTTTCAGCTCAAAGTCGCGTTGCAGCAGACTCTTGGTCAATTGACTGAGTACGTGTCAGTGGCAATTGCAGCTACCGTTCAGGTTAGTCTCCGACCCACCGAACAGCGTCCGGGTCGCTAAAGTCCAGTTGCCCATTGGATTTCAAGCTGGAGAGATTTTAGTGACTTGGAGATAGAAAGGATCACACAGGTTGCACCGGATGGACTGACTACTTTGCAAACTCGGAAGACTGCAAGGCAAGGGCGGTGAAATCGACCTCATCCTTGTAGATATTGCGTGAGGCCCTCATTGTGTGCTACTGGAGGTGAAAAAGTTAGTGCCTTGTGCCACTGGTCAGGGACGGGCATCGTGCACAGTGGACTGTGTGGTGCTGGACACAACCAATGGCAGCGGGTGGAGCGTACCGGAAATCCTCCCCCGATACGGTAGAAGCACGCTATTGCTGGGCGACCTATCGCTTGCTTTCGAGAAAGAATGCCGAGACGGAGTCTCCGAGAAAGGCGTTGGCTGAAAACAGGGAAATTCTGGTGGTGCGACAGAGACAAGATCACGGAAGGCTGAATGGAAATGGCTGGTATTCCGTGATTGAGTGACGACGTCTTGTGCCTGAGGCGATAAGGCTGGGAAGAGGGGGTGGATTCACTCAGGCACTCAGGCAGTGATGTCATGCTCGCGTTGGATCTCATCTGCCAAACTACTGCTCGATCTAAACTACTACTATGTACTCTTCCCCCTCTCCAATGCATCTCTGGAAAGTGGAAACTGGTTTTTCTTGCATGGCGGCTGCTCTGACCTCTGGATCTGAACCCCGCCGATCCGCCGATCTGAAACATTAATTCATTCAGCGGTTCCAGGCAGCATCGCAACCGATCATTAGTTTCTAGCTCCATCGGCCTCGTGTGGTGGAGCCACGGCTTTCTTCCCTCCCCCTCATTTTCCGTCCCTACAGGGCGACTGCTCCAACAATTGTTCTGCTTCCCCTCCTCTTCTTCCAAGTCCCTCATTCTCTCCCTGAGGCCGTCGATCTGGTTACGCTCGCTATCATGGAAAAATTCAAGCATAAGATCGAGAACCTGGAGGAGCAGTTCAAAGGTGTCATTCTTGTCTCCACTGCTTCGAATCCCACTAACCGCCCTCCGTCCCGACAGAAACCCACATCGAGGAGAAGGCTTTCCACCTCAAGCACAAAGTCGGCAAGTTCTTCAACATCGTCAACCCCAATCATCGCCATGATGAAGCGCACGAGAAGGCTACCGATGCCAAACGCACCGCGATCTCCGAATCCCACCGCTTCAAGTCGTTTGCGCCCATCCGTGAGGGTAACAAGGTCAAGTGGTACGTCGATGCTCTGGACTACTTGTGGGCCGTCTCAATGGCTCTAGAGGAGGCCAAAGAGACCATTTACATTGCCGATTGGTGGTTGTCTCCTGAATTGTTTCTCCGGAGACCTCCGTTCATGGCCCAGGAATGGCGGTTGGATCAGATTCTCAAGCGTCGCGCCGAGGCGGGTGTCAAAATCTACGTGATTGTGTACAAGGAGGTTAGTCTAGATGTCAGTCACACCGCCGATGGGTTGCTAAAAGGATTTGGACTAGGTCAACCAAGCATTGACTTGCAATTCCGCTCATACCAAGCACGCGCTTCGCAATCTCTGTCCCGAAGGAAGCCCTGGTTACGGAAACATCAGAGTCCTGCGCCATCCGGATCATAACATCTTCGAGAATGCAGCTGACATGACCTTGTACTGGGTGAGTTTGAACCCCGAAGCTTCCGGCAGCGCGTGCTAACTTCATCAGGCGCATCATGAGAAATTCATTGTCATCGACTACGCATTGGCGTTCATTGGAGGTATTGATTTGTGTTTCGGAAGATGGGACGCTCATCAGCATCCCCTGGCCGACGTTCACCCCTCTAACTTGCGGAACGAGGTCTTCCCCGGACAGGAATTCAACAACAACCGCATCATGGATTTCCAGAGCGTGGGCGACTGGCAGGCTAATGAGCTTAGCAAGGCTGAGTATGGTCGAATGCCCTGGCACGACGTCGCCATGGGTGTGATGGGTGACTGTGTGTATGACATCGCAGAGCACTTCGTCCTGCGGTGGAACTTCATCAAGCGGGACAAATACAAACGGGACAACAGTGTGGACTGGCTGATGCTGGAGGGTCGTACTGGGGACGACGAAGATCTGGTTGCCGTTCAGCGTCCGAAATTCCCGTGTGGCGAGTACCTGCAGCACCCTCTTACGCCTCTCGATACGAAGCCGCTCGGCCAGCAAGGCTTTGCACGGGCGCAGATCGTGCGCAGTAGCGCCGACTGGAGCAGTGGAATTTTGACGGAACATAGCATCCAGAACGCTTACAAGGAGATCATCAGCCAGGCTCAGCACTATGTCTACATTGAGAATCAATTCTTCAGTAAGATTGTTCACCCTGAGCACTGCACCAGCTGCTAACCCCACCAAGTCACTGCCACGGGAGACAAACAGGCGCCCATTCTCAACACTATTGGTCAGTCCATCGTTGAGGCCGTTGTCAGAGCTGCCAAGGAGGGAAGAAAGTTCAGAGTGATCATCGTGATTCCCGCCATCCCTGGGTTTGCGGGAGACCTCCGCCAGAATGAAGCGACAGGCACCCGCGCCATCATGGACTACCAGTACAAGTCGATCTTGCGCGGTGAACACTCCATCTTCGGCCAGATTTCCGCCCAAGGCGTGAATCCCAGAGGTAAGGTGAACTCCCGTCCGTACGAGACGCAAGCTGACGTAGCTAGAACACGTTTTCCTGTTCAACTTACGCGCATTCGATCGCATCAACAAGACTCCTGCTCTGGTCAAGTTGGAGTCCGAGGCGGGCGTGACTTACAACGATGTTCAGCGTGGCATTGCCGAATCTATCATGAGTGACAGTGTCCACCCGGCTATCGGCAAAGAGGGCGACAAGCATGAAGTGGGGTATGACAATGCACAACAGGAGAAGGAGGTTCGTCTCGCACGGCTGCGCAAGTACGAGGAGCAGCATGAGCGTCACAAGGAGCTGGAGGGCCTCAAGGGTAGCGACTCCGTCGCCCACACCACCATGCTCAACGGCGGTAAGATGTCCGATGAGCCATGGGAGGGCAATCCCGAGGACGAGAAGGAGAACTTTATCCAGGAAGAGCTCTACGTGCATGGAAAGGTGTGCATTGTGGATGACCGAGTTGTCATTTGTGGAAGTGCCAACATCAACGACAGAGTATATTCCCCAATACCTGAACCTCCATAAACGCGATGCTGACCGATAGCAGTCCCAGCTTGGTTACCATGACAGTGAGCTTGCTATTGTTGTCGAAGACCAAGACTTCATCGGCAGCATCATGGATGGTAAACCGTACAAGGCCGCCCGTGTTGCTGCCACCCTCCGTCGCCAGCTCTGGCGGGAGCACCTTGGCCTGCTGCCCGCTCAGAGTTATGACGCTTCTGAGGACCCGAACGCAAAGCCCCCTTACATGTGCATGAACTACATCCTCGAGGGACCCGAAGACGACTTCGTCACCGATCCCATGAGCGACGAGCTCTGGGAGATGTGGACCGGCCGCGCTACCGTCAACACCGACATGTACCGCATGCTATTCCGCGCCGACCCCGACGACAACGTCCGCACATTCGACGACTACGACCGAATCTGTCCTCGCGGCATCAAGCAAGGCCACTTGTTTGATCCCTTCCAGCCGGTCAATGAAATCCGCGAGAAGCTGGATAAAATCAAGGGCCATCTGGTCTGGATGCCACTGGAGTTCTTGAAGGATGCCAACATGGCCGAGCCTGGATTGGCGGTGAATCAGATCACAGAGGTGATACTACCTACCTACATACCTACCGATTTTAAGTGTGAAACATGAGCTAACGCATCACAAATTCATCTACAGAGTATCTACACCTAAGAAAAATTTTGCCTCCAGTACGGAGTACCGATTGTCAATCGACAGGTTGTACTTGCTTTACATACCTAGTACCTAATAGTACATACCAATATCATACCCGCCATCGACGCCACAGACTAAACTTCGAGAGAAGCAAAGAAAAGGAGAAAAACGAACCGTCTAGAAAAATTACCTATACCTACGTAGAGAGTAAAAACTCCACCCCGGAAGGGCCCGTGCTCACACCACGGATCACCCACCCCTCCTGCCATTTCATCCCGTCTCATCCCCATCCCCATCCCAAGCCCATGGTCCATCCATCCATTCCATAATCCTAAATCCATCTACTTAAAATTCTAATGATCCATAGTGCCCAACTCAACCCGCTCCTCCGGGAATAGTAAGTAAAGTAAGTAAGAAAGTTTACCTGCGATGCGGAGTACATGAACCTTCCACGCAAGGGGTAGTAGTAGGAGTAGTAGTAATAGTAGTGGGTGCACGAGAAGGGAGAGAGACCGAATGACACACACACACACACATACCTAAGACCAGCAAACAAGTACAGTACAGTACATACATACATAGACATCCCAAGCATGTCTATCCCAAGTATCTTACCCCGTGAATCAAGTAAACTAAAGTGGATGAATCATCCATACCTACCTACCCAGTACCTCCAAGTTATCTAGGGATTTTCCTGAACTCTAATGCAAGGGATGTTTTATCCGGTCCACCACCCCCTCTTTCCTTCTCACGTCCTATTACCCACTTTGGCATTCGGGATTTGACATCTCGCATACTTTAGTTGTAGGGCTTACAGTAGGTAGGAAAGGTAGGTAGGTAGGTAGGTAGTTACCTGGTAAGCAAGCAAACATCACTTATTTCCCCTTCCATACTTACATTTACATGATTCATATTTATTTCATATATACGATGCGCATGCATGCATGACAGACAAACAGATAGATAGATAGCCTATAGCCCCGGTTCAATGTTTCCTGGATATGTGTACTCCGTATCTACTACTTAGAGTATGTGGATAGCTGACTGTAGTACTAGAAATAGAAAAATAAAATATAGTATCAATGAAGCCTAAAAGAGAAAAAGTAGACGACCTTTTTCCACACCATGACTTTACTTAACTTCACTAACTCCTCTAAGTAACTGTAGAGTAACTACTACGTACGTAGTAATATGAACTAGTAGTCCCAATTTCCACTAACCAGATCAACTACTAACAAACTAACTAACCAACTATATCCTCAAGTAATATTTTTCTAATTTTTTTTTTTTCTTTTAACCCTCTTATTTACTTTTTTCGAATTGACTTCCGATACATCATGCAACTCACCCGATTTGGTAAGTAAAGCTGACTGGGGTAAGTAGTGGTTGAGTTGGTTGGACGTAAGTGCAAATTTCCTGTTTGGTGTTTGGTGAATGGTGGCTCAATTTCCCTATTTTTGCGGGTCGGAAGGAGGCCGGGGCGCGGCGGCCCACTTTGCTTGTCATTAAGGAATTGTCATTATTATTAGTGGGGAAATTATTGACGGTAATAAAATTTAATTTGGGTCAAATAGATACTTTATATATCGTAAAGTATGTCAATTATTTTATGTCTGGGGATCTTCGTGTGTCACGTCTTTTTTAGCGTATTTGGAATTTGCCAAGGGGAGGGAAATGTGTCTACGGAATTGTGAAGGGAGTTCCAAATGCCATTAAATTTGCGTCGCCGCATTGTATTCCTGATAAGGATCTATAAGTCATCTCTATCGCACAGAAAAAAAATTTGGTAAAAAAACAAACAGAAAAAGTAAAAGTGCCGAGTGTGATAAAAGACAAGGAATGCAAGGCTCTCTGAAAAGAGGCGCCGGCATAGGAATTGAATCACCAACAGACCGTTTGTTTCGGAACCCTGAACACCAGAGCGATGCTGCTTTTTGTGGCGAAAGTAGATCGTGGACATATGAAATTCCGGCCGTGGCTCTGCATCAAAAGGACTTTTGGGACTTTTTGTCGGGAAAGCAACATAAGAATTGATGGCAAAAGCACGAAAGGGGAGCGGAAAACGAGTAGAGTGGACAATATTAGTGATGGAGAATGGGGGGAAAACACTGCTTGCACCGCATTTGCAGTTGCAGGCTCAGATGCATCTCCTTTGGTCGCGAGACATCGAGTGGTATTAGATCACAATCAGGTAGCCACAGCTTTGATGTTGATCGATTGAGATCTGGCCCGAATAGGAAGATATCCGATTGGACCAGACTACAAAGCAGAGGCGCTCTTCCGTCGACCCTACTCCGATCTAGGACGCCAACAAACCGAGGGGACAATGCGCAGTATGCCGCAGAGATGGAGAAAAAAAATTTTTTCAAAGAGTTGCAGGAGAAACCGAACCGAATGGAGAAGCAAACGAAATGGGAAAATAAATTAAAGTCAAGTCGCGCAAGAAAAGGCTGATAGGCTTTCGGCAGGTATGGCGCGAGGAGTGCTGCAGAAGGTTTTTTCGAAGTTCCAGGAAATGTACGAATAAAACTAGGAACAGAGGTTAGCTTATAGTTTCACAACTGGTACACAGCCTTCCACAAACAATCGCAGTCAGGCCACTTGCACACTTACCGATTAAGAGGCAAAGAAGCATGCGTGACGTGATTCTTCTTAGCCTTTGGCGGTGTGGCAGGAGTTGCAGCGACAGTGGTTACAGATCTTGCAGCGCCAGATGGCGACATACGGACCGGAGTTGCAGTCGAGCATCGCCAGGTAAGGATATTCCCGTTTGTCGCCTGCACGATGACGAAAACGTGACCCGAGCATTGGTTGGCCATTTCGTCGCTAATTGCAGCATGTTAACATCCTTCCAATTTGCGCGTTGCCAGGAACTGGAAGTTTTGATGAGGATCCTTCACATACTAAATTCTGTCTGAGAGATGGTGGATGTGGATTTATGCGTGAGCTGCGCAAGATTGCAGTGATACGAGATCTCCCTCGATAGTCAAGTACTGGAGCTTCTTCAGTTGCAATGTTAAGTAGACGGCCTGTTTTGTCCCTGAATGTGAAATTTGAAGAACAGAATGGAAGACCTGAGTGAGGAAGGCGACAAAAGAGTTGTCTGAGAGTCAAGGAAGAGAAGAATGAAGGGGAGAAGGATGTAATTGTTGATGATGGATAAAAGACAAAGGACGTTTGGGATGCGTCGCCATAGCTTTATATAGAGGACGAGGTTTCAAATTGGACCAGCACATGAGACATCTCCTTTTTAGTGATGCGATGGGTGCATTGCTTCGGATTGACCGTTGTTCACAGAAGGTCCCAGCAGCTGTACGAGGTCCAGACTAGAAGCAGGTCTGCTGCATGGAATGGCTCTTTCCGTCGGCAGGGAATCGAACTGCAAGTACCCGAGGCTGTCGACGGGTCATTAATTGAGTGGAGAAAGCGACAGAGAGTTGAGTGATGGATAACAAGCGACAGGGAAGAGGGTGTTGTGAGGAAAGGAAAGGATCCAGCGATGTAAAAGGAGAATGTGATGGACAAAAACAGAAATATGGGGGAGGTTGGTACGTAGCAGGAACGAGGGTGTGCAGATGAGGAGAATTCGGGGAATAAGCTGTCAGAAAAAGTATTAAGTAGTTAGTTGAATTATAGTAGGAAAAAGAGCAGCCCTCTCTTTTACTCTGGTGAAAGAGAGAGAGATCCATGGGTGAGTACCGGACCCCGAAAAGGCAAAAGAAAGCACACGACCACCTACATCATCCTCACGATCACAGTCCATCTCCTATCCTAGTCAAACCGCAAATCTGGGTCCTGGGAAGCGCGACACAAGCTAATCCAGGAACCTAGTCTAGAAGGAGATGATGGAAGTGATATATCGCCGCCAGTGGACCCAACCAAGTGGGTGCGGAACTGTAGGCGACAGCCGCTTATTCCTCAATTACTTTTTCCCTTTTTATTTGGCCTGGGGTGTATTGCTTTTTTTTTTCTCTTCTGCGCTCGCATCTTTAAGCTTTCGCCCCTAAAATTAGGATTTCCCCAGGGAGGAGCTGAGGTTCGACCCGGGAATGCCTGGACTCTGGATCTGGGCCCCCATTCCCGATTCATGCGCTTCCGTTTGGGGGCTGAGCTGGTTCCAGCCCTGCGGTGCGCTGCGACTTTGGCGTGCAGATCTGCCCCGACGCTGTTCAATCTGTCTATCCTGGTTCTCAAGAGCATCGGCCATCCTGATGGAGCATCAAGTAAGTCCTCATTCTGAAGATGGTTTGTTATCTTTGTTGTGACAAATCTCCTCATCTCCACCCTGAATCTCCATCTTGCCCAGTCTCTAGTTGTACAGAGACAGAGGCGGACGACTTCCCAGTTCCCACCAGGTTGATAGAGGATGGGGCACGTCCCAAGAGAATATTTGGGGAATGATAGACAAGTCTCTGTCACTTCAATCAGAAAAAAGCATCCCTGTTTGTCACCCTGAATTTTTGGAAATGTCATGCCCAGCCGATTTGGGAAAGCCGGGCTATCTTAGTGTCGTCCATGAAGACCAGCTCATTTCCGGTCTATCTGATCAGGATGCCCCAACTGCTGAGCTTCTACCGACTTGTTTGATCTTGTAACATCACCGAGCTGCTCCGGTCGTCAAGTTGACAGTGTCTTTTCTGTCTTTTAGACTCCTCTCACGGCCCACGACAGGAGCACACATTGGCATCCTCTTACAGTCGATCCACCATCACCAGCAGGGATTCCCCGACCGGACAAACAACAAGTACACAGGCACATCTTTTCGCCTTCAAGCCAAGATCTGCATCGCATCGTCCGTTGGTTCATACCCCCCTTCGTACCTTCTACTCCTGCACCCGTCCTTCCGTCTGCATATCCTTGACTCTACCTGCACCCCCTCTCAATGTACGATGCAGAGAACGTTCCGGGCGTTGGAGGTAAAGACTTCCCAGCCAACTAAATTCTTTAATGGATTAGTCTCTCTACCTTCTCGGGCTCCTTGCTGATCCGTGGCCGATCGCTCCGGGCATTTGCAGAGGACCCGCGGGCCCGCCAACCAGGTACGATTTTGAGTGGCTTGCTGAAGGGACTTTCCAGTATCCAGCGATACCTTTGAGGTTATTTCAGCCACAAGCCCACTAACCTTCGAAGTGGCACAGGAGAATCGGGAATGGCAAGCTGAGGTATAGAAAGACAAGGAAAAGGAAAGAAGAAAAACTCTGTCTGGTGTCACAGAAACGGGTCTGCCAATCCTGCAAGCACGTACTTTTGTCCGTTGCGGCTGGCCTGTTTCTCATACCGTCATCGCTTGCTAATTTCCTCACTTTCAAGCGAGGCCCCGGAGGATAGTTGACCTGCGGGAAATCTTCCGCTCACCCAAATTAGTCGGACGCGTCGATCCCTCCAACTGAGTCGCTGAATGCCAGGGGTCCGCTCCATTTGAAGGAGCTAAATGCTTTGGCGCTGGATCTAGTCGGAGAGCCGGCTGGTGCTAAGGAGTAAATTCAAATTGCCGCGGCAAATCACAGGCGCCCGTCGCTCCAAGTTGACATCTCCGGGGCGCTCGCACCTAGATTCACTAAGCGTCTGAATGCCAATGAACTGAATGGGCACGCGGTGCGTCAAGTGCCCCGAGCTTTCTCCTCTTATGCTCATATTCAAGCATGACACTGGCTCGCAACTCGGCCCGGCGCTCAGGCCAATTCTTACGCACATGGCTGGCAGTTGTCATCTGTCGTGAGATGTGTGACTGTTACATAACCTTCGTACGGCATAAGCCTGGGTCGGAAGCACCGGGCTCCCTGCTGATAACTCCCGGGGGATGTTTGAAGAGCCACGCCGTGGGCTGAAAGGTGCGGCGTGTGTAAAACATCCGAGTCGTCCATGTCGCGCTCCACGGTTCGTGGTCCATGGGTACCCCTGTCGGGGACCAATAAACAACAGAATGCAATAGGGTGGTATATTGCCGGACTGGCCTTGGTGCTCCGATTAATTGACTTAGTTTCACGGGCCTGGAGGGGACAGCATCCGCTTTTCTTCTCAATCAGGTAATGGTGAATTTGTCCTTAGTCGAAACTCGAACATTTGGCTGCACGCTTCCCTGATCTACCGGGAGTGGCTCCCGGGCATATTTCTGGTCCGGTGCGCTTCGGTCCCTACTAGTGTTGCCCCTAGGACCACTTGGTCTCCCATGGTGCTGGGCCTCGAGCTGCGTAGCCCGGCTCCGGTGACGCAAGGTACTTTGGCTTCTCGATACGTCTTTTTGTTACCTTCCTATCATCAGGGCCGGAAGAGCGCCGCCCCCACAGCCATCGAGTCTTTCGCAAACGCCCATTTGTTCGATGGCCTGCCAAATGTGTAGTCCTGCGGTGGCGCCTGTAAACGAGCTGTTTAGGACCCATGTTCGACCGGGCTAGAACAACGGCATTCTTTCCCACGATTGTGATATCACGTACGAAGGACCGGGGAGAGTTTAATTGACCTGCCGTAGCTAATGTCTGCACGCAACTGCCAATTAGTCAAAGTTTGCATGTCGGGGCCTCTCTCAGTGCTTCCGGAAGGTGTCATCAGCATAGGATACCATCCATCACCATTTCGGCTAGCGGAAGGTACCGGTGTCAAGTGCAGCAGACAGTGAATGCTGCCGCCAACCAACATGTACAAGTTGTACGCTCAGCACTCGGCCTCATGCACACCGCTATTGTTGTCATTAAACCAGATCAAGGATACGGAACATATCCACTGACTGGAACCGGGCAGCTGTCCGGCGGTTCCGCTGTACGACCTTTGATGGCCATTGAATGAAGACAAGTGCGAGACGTCCTTCAGGTGGCTCCTGTCAAGCCAAACTACCGATACTATAGGCTAGATCTCTTTTTGCTCCCAAACCTGTCAGAACGATGCCGAACTTGGAGTAAGTTCCACCCGGAGGCTACAGACATCCCATCCTGGGAAGCGCTGGAGCTGAGCTGGCGGACAGTCCAAACTATCACGCCACAATAGATCGATTCATGACGAATGTGGAAGCCAAAATTTGTAATATTCAAAACCTGTACATGCTAAAAAACTACACTTGAACGTATACTGTAATGTCCGAGATGTTCTCTTGCATCAATTCCACTGGCCAAGGCCGCAGGACGTAAATCCAAGAAACTGATGCCTTCATTCCTCGGCCAACCTTGTACAGCACCACTACCGTCAGACACCGAATGGCATGAAAAGATAATGGGCCGGATAAGATTGGACAATTGATCTCCCAACGCTCCGTTAAGAACATCCTGTGAATTAGGTCCGGAGACAGATCTCCTTTCCAACAAGATGCTCTTGCAGTACCCAGAGTGGACTGCATCGCTGGTGTAAAGTTGTGACGTGTTCCTCAATTCCCGTGCCATTGTAAATTGACCGGCCTGAGTGCACCTACGCAGAAAGCAGAAATGACAAGGGAAAACGACAGCCTTGATCGCAAAGGCTAATGAGACTAGGGTTCCGGGCCCCGTCCTGATAGATTCGACAGTAGAGCTAGTCTTCATAATCGACGTGTAGCTGGCTGAAATGTACAGCCGTCGCATGACCACACCGTATGGTTGCATTTAGCTTCAGTCATGAGTTGTGAGTGAGAAAAGGTATCCTGATGTTATCATCACATAAGATGATGCTTGCGACACATAAATCGAAGCAAGGGAAGTCGCCATGCGCTGTACGAAAAAAGGAAGAAGTCATCAATTTTACTCGTCACTGTCTTTAGTCATCATCTTACCGATCTCCGGGCTTGTTATAGAGCTGCCAGGGATACTCGGGAGGGAAGTTGGAAGAGAAGGGAAGGCAAGGAGCGCCAGGACCCTTCGGATGCCGAAGGCTGAGGCCAATTGACAATCCCAAATCAGTCAGTAAGGTGGAACAACGCCGAAACACTTGGACAAATTAGCAATCATCCTGTATCCAGATTCGGAAGGCGACTAACCTTTCACCGTAATGATGGCGTCTGATGCTTTCGGCCAGAAGACTCGAGATATCAATGACAATCAACTTCTTTGACCTCTTCACCACCTGCGGTGGAACAGGGAAGCTGTTCGTGACCACAATGTGGTCGATCGACTCACAAGCTTCCATCTGTTCGAGGGATTCCTCGGTGAAGAGGCCGTGGGTGGCAATGCAGTATACTCTCTTGGCGCCGCCCTTCTTCACTACAGTTTCTGCTGCGGCAGTCCAGGATTTACTCTTGTCGATCATATCATCGACAAGGAACACGGTCCGATCACGGACGTCGCCAACCAAGGTGATAGTCTTTTCTTGCTCAACGTGCTTTCCGCTGCTGCCCTCTTCGTCTGAAGATTCAGCAGCATCGAAAGAGCCACCTAGAGCATGGTCGCCTGGAAGGGAAGAAGTGTTGGATATGAGAGAGTTCACCATTGAGTCTGGGACCTCGGGCTCATCACGGCTGGCACTCTGCCCCGGAGTTGTTTCCCCTGAAGCGGGATGTGAAGTAGGACCGGTTGACGGGTAGTCGTCGTCCACCAGGTGACCTTGCACGAGCCGCCCAGTAATGACCTCGCGCACTCGCACATCAGTATACTCATGTGCAGCTTCCAATTCCGAAGGACGACGAGCGCCTGATGGGGTTTCAGGACGCAAGTAATTTGCCGCTACGAGAGACTCCATGTTGCTGTTTGGCTCACCCCTGGCATCTTCAGATTGACTGCACTCACTAGTTCCACTTTGTAGGTGGAGAGTGAAAGGGTCTTGATCCTTGTCCTTGGCGACGGGAGTGCTCTCTTCCTCGATCGAATCGAAAAAGACAGTACTATCCGCCATACCGAGGGGTACTTTCGGACGTCTCCTATCAGTCGTGACGA